CCCCTCCCTGGGCCGTCCCCCTCCACACCCCCTGCCCTGGGACATCCCCCCAAGCCACATCCCCTCATGCCAAGGCCGCTGCAGTCCCCAGCCCAATTTTGCCCCCACCCTCTGGGCCATTGGTTCTGGAGTCGCGGGCTGGGGCTCGGGCCCCACGCTGAGTGACACCAGCCACTCGGGGGCAGTGTCTCCCCTCAGGGCCCCTCACCAGGGCAAGGAGCCTGCCCGGCTTCAGCCCCTCCTGGGTCCGACCTCGGAGCGTTCGGCCCCCTGCTCACCCCGGGAGCTCCCCGCAGCGAGTTCCCCGACCCCTGGGGAGCCTCCCACCCCCCAAAGGGCCCTGCCCCCCACTCCGCAGCCAGCCGTGACTCCCAGCCAGCGTGGGACACAGACGGGTTCTTAGTCGGGAGCCCAGCGTAGGACAGAGCTTGTGAGCACAGAAATCAGGGACCTGCAGCGAAGTCCAGCTTGGGGGGATCCAGGGCCCAGCGTGTGTTCCCCCCCCGGGTCCCAAACCAGGTGACTGACTCGCTTCCAGCAGCCCAGCCTCAGTCACCCCCGGCTGCCCCCCTGCAGCCTTTGTCTCCTTCCTGGGCAAACAGGGCCCCTGGGCTCTGGTCTCCAGCCCCTCCGGCTGGCTCTGGCAGGGGAGGGGCCGGGCCGTCAGTGGCCGGGATACGGGGTGTCGGCCATTGTCTGTGCCCAGGCAGCCAGTCGGTGTCACATCTGCCCCAGTGGGTCTCTGCAACGATCACACCCCCGTCCCATGACCATATTTCCCCAAGGGAAAACGGGACATCGTGTGGAGCTAGCGCTAGCCCAAATCCTCCCCGTCCCCACACAGGGCTGGTCCAAGCTGCTCATCTGAGCCCTGCCCCCCACCCCGCGTGGGGCCGGCATTACCCCCCACCCCCTGCACGTTCCCCCGCACCCCCTTGTTTGACAAAAGGGGGAATTTCTCCCGTTGGCGTTGGCAAGGGCAAATGGGACAGATGCCCACTTTTGTCAAAAAAGTCGGGTCGGCCGGGACAGAGCTTAAAACCAGGACCGTCCCGGCCAAAACAGGACGTATGGTCATCCTACCCCACCCAGATACTTGAGTATCACATATGGGAAACTGAGGCACACAGTGTTCAAACAAAACATTCCGAACATTCCCACTTCGTCACACCATCCCAGCCCCAGTCCCACCCCCCTCGTGGTAGCTGGGGCCCGAGATCCCTGGGCCGCGGCTCGGAGCAGTGACGGAGCCTGGTGCTCAGCCCACGTCCCTGCCCAGGCCTTGGTGCCCCAGTGGGGGGCCCCGTGGGTGCCCGCTGGGCCCTGCCACACCCCCCCCCCAGGACTGGTCCCACCCGTCCCCCAGGCTGGTCAGGTCTCCCTCCTGCCACCGCCGGTCTGGGAGTGATGGGAGGGAGCACCCCACCACGCCAGGGTCCCACGTGCACGGTGGTGGAGCTGGGCAGGGAGCACCATAGGCCAAGTCCCCCCGTGCTCAGGGACCTGAACCGCCCCAGGCTGGCCTCCCCGGCCAGAGGGAGATGTCCCACCCTGACCTGCAGCGTGCCAGGCAGTGCCACGGTGCTGCTGCCAGGGGCCTGATGCCAACCCCATTGCCAGGCCTGGCCCTGCTCCCACGGGCAGCCGCGTCGGCGTGAGCCGAGTGGGGGACTCGCCCCGGGTCTGACCAAGGCCCTGCCCTGTTTGTAGGAGACCCAACGCGGAGCAGACACTGGAGCACCCCTGGTTTAAGGTGAGTGGTCAGCTGTGTCCAGCCCAGGCAGGGATCTCGCATCTGGGGGGCATCGGCGGGCAGGGAGGGGGGGCGGACCAGTGGGGGAGCATCGGCGGGCAGGGAGGGGGGGCGGGCCTGGGGGGGGGGTGTTGGCGGGACGGGCCCATCGGGGGGAGCGGGGTGGCCCAGTGGGCCAGGGGTCGGAGGGCACGGAGGGAGGCAGCCGGCGGGGGGGTGTTGGCAGGCAGGAAGGGGGCTGGCCCGTTGTGTGTGTCTGGGGGGGGGCGTTGGTGGGCAGGGAGGGGGGCAGAGGCATCAGGCAGCCCCCAGATGCTCCTCTCCGCTCTCCGCAGACCTTGGCCAAGGGGAAATCCATCAGCACCGACCACCTGAAGCTCTTCATCTGCCGCAGGAAGTGGCAGGTAAAGACGGGGGCGGCCGGGGCCCAGGGAGGGCTGGGGGCAGGCGATGCTGCCATGGGGCAGAGATGGAGCGAGTGGGGATGACGGCCCCGTGCAGAGGCCTATGCTCCTGTGGCGGGTGCATGGAGCCTGGCTGGGCCCCTGCGTGGGGAGCAGAGAGGGGTGTGGGGCTCCCGCGCCAGGCCCAGCGAGATCAGTGGGGAGCAGTTCGTCCCAGTGCTGAGCCAGGCTGGGGCTGCCCACGGCCCCCAGAGTCTGTGGCAGGGCTGGGACACGTCCCTCCGTCAGCCCCATGGGGGCCAAGCCCCCTGTGCTCCCATCCCAGGGACTGTGGGGTGGGGGTGCTTGAGGCAAAGCCCCTGACACCCCCTCTGGCAGCTCAGGGGCCTCCGGTCCCCCTGCACAGCCCCCCCCCCAACCTCCTGCCCAATTCTTCCCTTCCCCTCCACGGCTCCCCCCAGGGGGCTCCCCCTTCCCCCTGCGGTTCCCCCCCAAACCCCTGTCCGATTCTTCCCTTCCCCCCCACGGCTCCCCCCAGGGGGCTCCCCCTTCCCCCCGCGGTTCCCCCCAACCCCCTGTCCGATTCTCCCCTTCCCCCCCACGGCTCCCCCCAGGGGGCTCCCCCTTCCCCCGGCGGTTTCCCCCAAACCCCTGTCCGATTCTTCCCTTCCCTTCCATGGCTCCCCCAGGGGGCTCCCCCTTCCCCCCCGCATTTCCCCCCAACCCCTGTCCGATTCTCCCCTTCCCCCCGCAGTCCCCCCAACCCCTGTCCGATTCTCCCCTTCCCCCCCACGGCTCCCCCCAACCCAACCGCCCAGCCTGCCCCCCGGCCCTGCAGGCCCCAGCGCAGCTTCTGACCCGTCTGTCTGCCCGCAGCGCTCTCAGATCAGCTACAAAGGCAGTCTGGTGCCGAGAGCCATCCCGGAGCTGCTGGAGGACACGTCCAGCCACCTCTCCATCGCCCTGCCCCGGCACCTCAAGGACTCGCCCGCCCTCTCCTCCTCCTCGGACTCGGAGGAGCTGGACGAGCTGCCCCTCCTCCCCATGCCCCACCAGGTGGAGTTCTCCGGCTCCCGCGTCTCCCTCAACGAGATCCCCACGGACGACGAAGCCCTGGGCCAGGCCGAGGGGGCGCTGGAGGAGGCGGCCCCCATGGAGTGGCAGGCGGAGGTGGCAGGCCCGGGGAAGAGGCAGAAGGGCGCTGGCCCGCGGAAGAGGCCCACGGTGGCGGAGGGGCCCGGCTCCTCGGACGAGGACTCCGCCGAGGCTCAGCCGCGGCCCGAGTGCCCCCGGAAGGCCCTGAAGAAGGGCTCCAGCCTGGAGTCCCCGGAGGGGGGGCGCCCGGCCGGCAGGAGGGGCGAGCTGCGGCGGGGCAGCTCTGCGGACAGCGCCCTCCTGCTGGGCCTGCCGGCGGAGGCCGGGGCGGGCGAGGAGCCCCCCAAGGCGCTGAAGAAGGCGGCGTCCATGGAGCTGCCGCGCCGGAGCCCCAGCCCGGGGGGTGCGCCCCGCAGGCAGGCCGAGGAGGAGCGCACCCAGCGCCTGGAGCTCGTGCGCCAGCGCCTGCTGCGGGACGGTCCCGTGGAGCCCAGGGTCAGCGGCCTGCGGGGGCCGCTCCTGGAGACCCTGGAGAAGAAGGTGCGGCCCCCCCGGCCCACAAAGCAGCCGCCCCCGGGGGCCAGGCTGGTGCGGGCAGCCTCCAGCGAGGCAGCCCCGCAGCACCCGCCCCCAGAGCCGCGCCTGCTGCAGAAGAGCAGCTCCTTCAGCCAGGGGGACCTGGAGCCGGTGATGGTGCACCGCCGCTCGGGCGCCCCGCTGGAGATCCCCGTGACTCACCTGGAAGCCCAGCGGCTCAAGGAGTCCCCCTCGCTCTCCGCCCTGACGGAGTCCCGGCCCCAGACCCCGCGGGAAAGCTCCTCCAAGCCACCCGGCCCTGAGCTGCCCGAGGCCTCCCCCGAGCAGGGGCCTGGGCCGGGGGACACTGCCAGGCCCAGAGCCAGCTTGGCAGCTGTGGGCAAGAAGCCTCCAGCTGAGAGGCCTCAAGAAAAGCCTCTGCCGCGGCCCGCAGCTGCCAGACCTACCCAGGTCCCCCTGCAGGCAGCTCCCAAGCCCCGAGCAGCCCTGCCAGAGCCCCCTGCCCTGGACTCCAGAGCCCCCAAGCCCTCCTCCTATGCACAGGTGATACAGTCCATCCAGCTCCCCGCCGCGCCCGGGGAGCCTGCCCGGGCTGAGCCCCCCGCTGCCCGCCCACAGCCGTGCCCCGCACCCCCCCCAGCCCACGCTGCGGGCGGTGCCAAGGCGGAGGTGCCCGCGGAGGAGGCGGCACCGCTGCGTTCCAGCAGCGCCCTGGCCATCAAGGACATCGACTCGGAGGAAGTCTTCGAGGCCAAGTTCAAGCGGGGCCGGGAGTCTTCGCTCAGCCGCGGCCTGAAGCTGCTCACCAGGCCCCACTCGGAGGACCGGCACCTGGCCAGCCCGCTGGTGCGGGAGGAGGGGATGTACCGGCCCGGCCCGGCCGGGGCGCCGCTGGAGCTCGCCAAGGGCCCGGCCCAGCGGGCCCAGTCCGTGCAGGACTTGCGTGAGCCGGAGGAGGCCAGCTTCATCCGCAGGATGTCCCAGCGCCTCTGGCGCACGCCCCCCATGGAGAGGAAGCAGCCCAAGGAGGAGGAGTCGGGCCGCGAGCCCCCGAGCCGGGGCCGCCGTCTCTCCTGGAGCCTGGGTCTGGGCAGCTCCAAGGACAAGCGGGACTCGGCGAGCTTGAAATCGGAGCCAGGCAGGAGTGAGGGCGGGTCGGAGTCGCCCGTCGTGGCCATGAGGCGGAAGATCAGCTCCACCATGGAGCGCCTCTCCCAGCGGCTGCGCAGCCCCTCGGATGACAGGGGGGAGGCAGAGGGGCCCGGGAAGCGGAGCCCGCTGCTCGCCCTGCTGCGGAGATCGAACTCGGAGGGGGAGAACCTGCGCAAGATGGGGATTCCGCAGAACCAGTTGGCGGCACAGTCAGCCCTGGCGCCCTCCGCCGAGTCCTTCCAGTCAGAGAGCAGCACCCGCTCGGAGGCAGGTGCCCGAGGTGAGCGGGGACAGGGGCTGCGCAGGGGGCCCGGAGCCCACTGGGCCCCTGGGGATGTGCCTGCTGGCAGCCATCTCTACCCCATCGCCAGGCCTGGGGCCTGTGCTGGCCCTGGGGCAAACCAGAAACTGCCCTTCCTGGCCCCCCCGGCCGCTGTGCACCGTCCCACCCCTGCATGGCAGAGCTGGGCCCCTGGGGAGCAGGCTGGGGGGTCCCTGTGTGAGCAGCCCCCATTCTCAGCCCTCCAGCCTGCAGCCAGAGCCCCTCTCTGGGCCGGCCGGGAGCACGGGCGGTGGTCGTGTACACTGCTACCTGCGGGCACCTGGCAGGGCTTGTCCCGACACATGGCCCCCACCCGGTGGCACCGCGGGCGGCGCCTGGGCAAGGCGTAGTCAGCATGGCCTCGGCCCCTCTCTCCGCAGCTCCCAGCGAGGGCCAGAGACGCTCCCGGTGGGACCGCTGGGGCCTGTCCCGCGCCAAGAGGGACAAGGTGGCCTCGCAGCCCAACATCCCGGCCAGCCTGCTGCAGGAGGACGGCACCATCGTGGGCAGGCAGTACGTGCGCAACGCATCGGGTAGGTCCGGCTGCGCCCGGGTCCTGGGCCGGGCAGGTCTGCGGGGCTGGCTCAGGGATCTAGGGGTATCCCGGGGGATGTGGGGTGGCGGAGGGTCTGGGGAGAGGCCATTTGGGGGGGCTGGCAGCTGGCTGGGACAGGTGGCTGGGGAGCAGGTGTGGGGAGGGGAAGGGGGCAGAGCCCCACAGCCCCCCCTGGCCGGGAGGAGCACTGCGCGGGGAGCCCTGCAGCCCAGCAGAGCCGGGAAACCAAGGCTGCAAAGACGCCATGTTGGCTCCCTTGCACCCGACGCCACCCGCGCTCCAGAGCCAGGCCCGGCGCTGCTGCGGGGCCAGAAGGACAGTCTGCCCGAGGCAGCGCTGGGCACCAGGCAGTGCCCCATGTGTTTGGTCGCCGGGCACGGGGTGCTGGGCTCATGGCGCCCTGCTCTGAGCAGCCTCCCCACCTCGTCCCGGGCAGGATCTGGCCCCCCAGTGTCCGGCCTAGCCCTGGGGCAGCCCCCCACAACGGAGCGGGCCCTGCGGCGCCCGGCCCCAGCGCTCTGTCCCCCGTGCTGGGTGGCTGTGTCCCGTTGCAATCACATGAGAGGGCAGGGGCAGGGGAGGGGGGCCAGGCCGGGGACTTGGGGGGCACTTAGCAGAGGAGCAGCCGATCTGCGTTCTGGGGGTCCCACACTTATCCCCTCCCCCCACCAAGGCCCCTGGCCAGTAGTGGGAGCAGGGCTCTGTCCCTCCAGGGCCCCTCAGGGCCACTCCTGGGCCAGCAATGGGGGTGGGAGAGATGCTGAGCCAGGGGCCCAGCTGGCAGCCCCATGCGCTCCTTCTGGGGGGCCGTGCTCACCGGGAACCCCCATTCCACCCTCCCTCATGCCTGCCGTGTCCCCTCTGCTCCCCCAGACTTCCCCCCCGTTTTCCACATCAAGCTGAAGGACCAGGTGCTGCTGGAGGGCGACCCGGCAACCCTGTTCTGCCTGCCAGCTGCCAGCCCGTCCCCCAAAATCCTCTGGATGAAGGGTAGGTCTGGGATCTGCCGCCTGGGGGCCAGGGCATGGATCTGTGCCCGGGGCCAGGACTCTGAGGGTGCTCTGTGCGCATGGGATTGGGGGGGGCTTTGGGACTTGGGGGGGCGGCTCTGTGCCCGCAGGACCGGTGCCCGGGGGCCCAGGCTCTGGGGACTCTGTGCCTGCAGGACTGGGTGCGGCGCATGCTGTGGAGCTGAGCGTTGTGACCCCCAGGGCTGGGTGCCCCCGGTATCACTCGCAGCGGGGACACAAGAGCATGAGCCCGACCTCAGGGCGGCTGCTCCAGACCAGGATGTGCCCCAGGGTGCCTGGGGCAGCCCTCACTGGAAATGCCAAGCTCAGGGCAGGCTGCGAAAGGGAGAGCAGCTCCTCCCAAACCGGGTGGGTAATGCTGAAGTTAAGCTCCCCAGCCAGTCACAGGCCATGCATCTGATCCTCCACACTGGGTATCCCGCCGCTGCCCGGGAAATCACACAGCCGCTGCCGTCCAGTCCCAGGCTCTCGGGCAGCACCTAGGTCCAGCACAGGGAGAAGTCATGTAAAAACTCTGCTCACCTCGACCAAATGTTCCTCTGACCCCAAAGGGTCACCACGTCGCCAGGGCAGCCCGTCCTTCAGCCTCTCGAACGAAAGGTTTATTATAAGAAAAACGAACGAACAAGCGGAGCTGTTAACGGGTGAAGCAATCACAGAGACTTCAGTCTACACCTCAGCTTCCTAGCAGTGGGGGGAGGTTGCTGGCTTGAAAGTCCCCCTGGAATCACCCACAGCTGGGATGGGTCACTCAGTCCTTTGCTCAGAGCTTTGTGGAAGTTACCCTGGGGTAAGAAGCAGATTGAAGACAAAATGGAGACGATGCAGCTGCCCTTTTGCCATGTGGCTGGTACTTCCTGTGTCCCAAACAAGCTGCCCAGCACATGGCCTGGAAAAGCCTTGGACTTCTCTGTCCACCGGCCTGCCCTGCCTTGCTGACTCCTCAGGCGCGTCCCCGGCTCCTTTCAACGGGTCATTGTACGGCCGATGGGCCGCCAAGCAGGCCAGGCAGTGCTGATGCCAGTCTGGGGGGCCACAGACCTACGCTAGTAGCTATAACTCGCCGTACAAAGTGACACACATAGAAACAAGCTCCTCGGCCTTGGCAATTGGGAAGATTGTCGCAGGCCCCTCACGGCCGCTCTGCTCATGTTCCGTGCAATTGTCCAATTTGGGGGGCGGGATAGCTCAGCAGTTTGAGCATTGGCCTGCTAAACCCAGGGTTGTGAGTTCAATCCTTGAGGGGGACACTTAAGGATCTGGGGCAAAATCAGTACTTGGTCCTGCTAGTGAAGGCAGGGGGCTGGACTCAATGACCTTTCAGGGTCCCTTCCAGTTCTAGGAGATAGGTGTCAACACTATTGTAAAGTGTTCCCCACACGGGCACACGCTGCCCCGGCGGCAATGTCTCAGGGTACATTGCACCCCGTGAAAACTCCTCACGGCCCGTCCCTCTCGCCAGGGGTGCGGAGCCCCTGGCCCCAAGAATCCAGCGGTGCTCAGGTTCCTCCAGCCCCACGGCCCGTCACTTACCCCAGCTCAGGTGTGCTTTAGGCCTCGTGGCCCGTCTGGGTCGAGGTCACGAGCGAGCTGAGCCCAGCCACACACCCGAGTTACAGATGCCAACAGGGGCTGTGATCAGCTAGCTCTGAAACACCTCCCCACACACACTGAGTGCAAGCAGCACAGTGTCACAGACCCCCAGGATCGGGACCCCAGCCTCAGCATGGGGACAGGCTCTGGGAGGCCACCAAGGGGTCTTGCTCTCCCTCCAGGGGAAGCCACGCGGCTTCACTGCCTCCTGGGGCTAGACCCCTGGGCCTGAAGCCCCCCTGCCCCCCCCCCCCCCCGTGAGCTCCGGGCAGCGAGTCCCCCTGAGACAGACCCCGACAGAGACTTGTACCGCTTGGGGGGCAGCGCCCCCTCCGCCAGCGTCTGCAGGGACACGCAGCCAGCGCGAGCTGACAGGCAGGTTATTAGTCACCTGGTCCAGCCCAGGGAGCCCAAAGCCCCGTCCATCCCTCTGACCTTGTCCCAGGCCAGGTGCCCGGACTGCTGCGTGCAGCCCACACTTAACTCTCCCCTCCCCTCACCCCCCAGCCCTTTGTTCCCCAGCCGAGCGGGGGATGCGGCTCAGCCCCCTGCCCAGTGGTGGGGGGTGCAGATCTCTCTGGGTCGCTGGTTGCTGGGGTCCAAGTCTGGAGAGTCGGATTTGCCATTGTCTTCTCAGAGCTCCACTGCTATGGGACCTAAGGGCCCAGACAGCTGGGAGCCCGTCACACCTGTGTTAGCCGGCCCAGAGAGCGACAGGCCTTTCTATCCCCGAGATCACTGCAGCACATAGGGGAAACTGAGGCACGCATAGGCTTCATGAAAATATTACAAAAGAATGCCCAGGTTGTCACACCTAGTCCCTTTGGTTTGGGGTTCGCTGCCGGGTGCTCTCAGGGATGTGGGGAGTCGCTCTCGGGGAGGAGAACGGAACAAGACGAGTCTTTAGGCCTTTTGTTGATGGTTTCTCCATGCGGATGTGGGGAGTTCCCAGCTCTGAGATCCAAGCCTAGCCCGGCTGCTGTCGCTGGGTCTCCTCTTTCAGGGAGGGCATAAACATTTCTGTGGGAGAGCAGCTCTTCCATCAGTGTCCATGCCCTGCCGGGTGCCCGCTCTGATAGCCCGCCCCACGGGAACAGACGGGGGAAGTGAGACTGAGGCAGGCGTTCGACAGAGTCCAGACGCTACCCCTGGTTCTGGTCCCTGTCCGATCGCTGGTAACCCGCAGGCGAGCCGGGCAGATCCCAGCCCTGTCTGTCAGCGTCTGGCTGAGACCTGGGGACCTTGCCCTGGGCTGGTGCCCATTTCTGAGCCCCTCTCCCCGGTGATCCCGTGCTGCCGGTCCCTGGAGTCATCCACTGTAAAGACAATCGCTCTGTTCAGGGACCAAAATCTCCCTTAGACCCAAGCCTGCAGGACCAGTGCCAGAGGCAGACGGAAGGGCCCTCGGGCCGGCGCCTGCCGGGCGCTCTGATGCCCAGGTGGAAGTTGCTTGGGTACCAGGCCTGCCATGGGGTGGGGTGCCGCTGCTCAGCTGTGAACGCCGAGCAGCCTGGGACCGAGCCGGGGGCTGGGGTCTCGCTACGGGCGAGCGGCCGGGGTGGCCGGCCAGCCCTGCTCATCCTCCTTCCCCACAGACAAGCGGTCGCTGGTGTCCGACGCCGCCGTGAACATCGTCTCGTGTAAGGACGGCCGGCAGCTGCTCTCCATCCCCAGGACGTGCAAGAAGGATGCAGGCCTGTACGAGTGCACCGCTGCCAACGCCCTGGGCACCGCCACCAGCTCGTGCACTCTGGCCGTGGCACGTAAGGGCCCTGGGCACGGGAGGGCACTGGCTGCAGCAGCTCCTGTGGGGCGGCCAGGATCGGAGCTGCCCCATTCCTGTCCAGGGGTGTGGGGGGGACAGCCAGGCCCTGTCTGCCAGGCCCCCCTGCGGCCACTGCCCCAGGGCGCTCGGGCAGGAGCCGAGGGATGGAGGGTCTGTCTGGGGCCCCCGCACTGCAGACGAGGCAAATGCCAGCAGTGCAGAGCCCGGGGGCCTTTGGCCAGTGCTAGTTACTTGAGAGGGCCCCAGCTCTCCGGTGCCACCAGCGCCACTAACCGGATCAGTGCTGCCGGCGACCCTGGGCTGGCCCGGCCCCCTCCTTGACCCCGCTCTGTCCCACCCCATCCGAACCCCTGTCCCCTCTCCATTCCCTGCCTCCCCCCTTGGCCCAGTTCCTCCCCCGTGCCAGCCCCATTACCGGTCGCGCTGTCTCCCCTGCCAGGCCTGCCGGGGAAGCCGGGCACCCCGGAGATACCTCAGAAGTACAAGAACACGGTGCTGGTGCTGTGGAAGCCTGCAGACAGCCGGGCCCCCTGCACCTACATCCTGGAGTGCAAAATGAACGGTACGAGGCCTCCCACGCCCAGCCGGCACCGCTTGGGCCCGTGGGCAGGGCCTTGGTCAGTTCCCTCGGCCCTGTGCTGCCCCCTCCGCTGCTCTCCCATGACTGGTGCTGGATCCCAGCCTGTGACCGGATCCCCAGGGTACAACCTGGGACTGTGGGACCGCTGGGCCCCCTTAACTCCCCAGCCTGGGCTGTCTCCCACAATGCCTTGCTAGTGACCAGCAGCAAACCCCTCCAGGTGCTGCGATCACTCAGCACAACCGCGTGTGGAGCCCCACACCCAGCTCGATTGCATGAATGCTCCCAGAGCTGCTCACAAATCGCACGGAGAAAGGCACCAGCCCATCCCCCAGCACCCCAGAGCTGCACCGTGCCTGAGCAGTGTAAGTTCATTGCCCAGTCGCCCTCCCTCAGTGTGCAGAGGACACGCACCAGCCTTGGTAACCAGAGCTGAGATTTCCCAAGCACTGGTTTAGGTAAAGCATAAAGCAGGTTTATTCACTACAGGAAGGTCGATTAGACGTGATTAGAAGTGGGAGGCATAAAAAGTGAGCGACAGGTACCACAGAAAAGAACCGATACGCGCCCAGTCTAAACCTTAACCCTTATTACTAGGCCCTGCCAATGTCACGGGCCCGGAGATTAGCCCTCCCCTGTGAAATCTCCTCTCCCTCAGGCTGCTGGGAGCGTCCCTCCTGGGGAGGCTGGGGAGGGACAGGACTTGTCCTTCCCCTGCACAGCTGCTCAGGGAAGGGGGGATCAGACCCACCTCTGGGGACCTTTCGGGTTGGGACCCCCACGGTTACAACACCCTGAAACCTCAGATGTAACTATCTGAAAACGTGAAATTAACCAATTTTTCAACTCTCTGGCCGTGAAATTGATCAAAATGGAGGGTGAATTTGGTAGGGCCCAGCTTACTACACCAGGCAGCATTTAGATCAAGCAGTTTTCTCACCCCACTGGATGTTACATTCTCAATACGCCGGCTTCTCTCTCCAGCCTGGGGCCAGTCTCCTCAGTTGAAGTCTTTGTCTTCTCTGTGTTCTTGTGGCTTCCAGTGTAGGTGGGGGAGGAGAAAGGCCAGGGCATGATGCCCCCCCCCCCCCCCCCGATTTTATATCCTCAGTCCGTGTGCCCAGACAGGCCTGGTGGGCTTTGCTGAGTTGCCGGGCTGAGCAGTCCCACTGTGTGGTGCTTTACACAATTGTCATTGAATTGTAACTGCTTGAGTCTGTCCCGGAGTCCCCGGGTGATGCTCTGGAACTGCTCCCCACAAAGCCAGTCAGGACTTTGGGGAGCCTCCTCTCCCTCGGAGCAGACTGTCTTCAGGGCAAGAAGCTCACACGGCTTCACCTCCTGGGTCTGACCTTGGAGCATTCAGCATATGCCCCTCCGTGCGCTTCCCACAGCGAGTCCACCCAGGCGGGGTCCTGGGGAAGCCACAGGGTCCTGCACCCCCACTTCGTAGTCAGACGTGACTCTCAGCCAGCCAGTAAAACAGAGGTTTATTAGATGACAGGAACACGGTCTAAAACAGAGCTTGTAGGTCCAGAGAACGGGACCCCTCAGCTGGGTCCATTCTGGGGTCCTGCGAGCCAGACACCCCCATCTGCCCTCACTCCCCGTCCCCAGCCAGCTCCAAACTGAAACCCCCTGCAGCCCCTCCTCCTCTGGGCTTTATCTCTTTCCCCGGGCCGGGAGGTCACCTGACCTCTTTGTTCTCCCACACCTTTAGCATCCCCTTGCAGGGGGGAAGGACCTGGCCATTAGTTGCTAGGAGACAGAGGGTCGGTCAGAAACTGAGGCACCCACACAGTATTCAGAGGAAACATTAAGAACAGTCTCACTTCGTCACAGAGTCCCACTCCCCTGCTGATCAGTGATCCTTGAACACTCCTGGGAGCCGAGACTCTCACGTTTACAGCGTATTTCAGGAACAACCATTCAGCAAAAGCGCCTCACTTCGTACTCACTAACGATACGTGTATTCGGACTGAACAATGGGGTGCAGCAGATCACGACCGTTCATATCATAGCTTACAAGGCCTGCTTTGTGTGAGATATCGCACCCGCATATGAATGGTGCGTATGGGTGTTACAGGGTGTTATTTGGAGGTTCAGTGTGTCACAGGATCTCTGCAGCCTTGGGGCCTGCGCCGCTCTGGGATCTGTAGGCAGCACCCAATGCTGGCCCCACACTGGAGAGCACCCGGCAGCACCTCCGGGTGCCTGCCCAGGCAGTGTTCGTGCCCCTGCTGCCCATCGGGGGGGCTGCAGGGATGGGATTGGGGACCCTGCTAGGGCCCCATGCTGCCCAGACCTAGGGCACCCTCTCCCTGCAGATCCCAGCGCTGCGTCCATCTCCCACCGCAGCCAGTGCCCGAGTGCCCAGCCAGGCACTGACGGCTGCATGTCCCTCCCCAGGGGAACGCGAGTGGAAGACCATCAGCTCGGACATCGCCGACTGCTACTTCAACGTGACGGAGCTGCCCGCCAGGAGCACGGCCAGGTTCCGTGTGGCCTGCATCAATAAGGCCGGCCAGGGGCCCTACAGCAACCCCTCGGAGACGGTGGCCATCGAGACAGATGGTGAGCGAGCTCCTGGGGGCCCCTGTCCCAGCCCCACCCCCGGCGCAGGCTTGGCCCTCGCCGACATGGGGATCGTGGGGCACTGGGTGGTGTTGGGGCCTGTTTGTGTGTCGTGGACCAAACTAAAGCAGGGGGTCCCCCTAGCAGGCGGGGGGCCCTGCACCGAAGGGGGGCATGTGCTGGCCTCAGTGGGGAGGGGTTGGGGGCTCCCAGCTGCCTTGCTCCATGGCTGCTGGGGGGTGGGATCCTGGTTACTGCCCTGATCGCTCCCCTGCCTCTGGCTGCCCCCCATTTCCCCAGGGGCGGGGCAGGGTGGGGCGCTCACTGGCCGACTGCTCTGTTTTGCTTCCTGTCTAGATCCCGGCGCTGCCCACTCGGCTCCTGCTGCCCGGAAGGATGTGGCTGCCCCCGAGACAGCAGCTTCCAGCCGCTCCACCCAGACCCCTCCTGCCCAGCCTGCGCCCCAAACTGCGGGGGCCCCTCCCCCCACCCCGCCCCGCAAGCACAAAGGGGTCGTGCACATGCCCGGCCGGGCACCACAGGCGCCTGTTCCCGGGGGTGCCTCTGCTGCCATCCAGCCGCCTCCCCGTGCCCAGGCAGAGCCTGCCCCCAAAGAGCAGCTTTGCCCCCCTGCCGCCCCTCCAGCAATTGCTGGGTCTGGCTCCCCAGAACTGGTGTTAACGCCGTCCAGGGCTGCCCCTCCTCGCCCCCCCGCTGCCCACACAACCAGCCAGGCGGTGCAGGGCTCGCCCGCCCCTCCAGCCCAGCCCCCTGCCCGACTCTCCCCCATTTCTCCAGCATCGGCCACCCCCGTGTCCCCCTCCCCCAAAGCGGCGCCCATGTACATGGTCACCTCCTTTGTCTCCATGCCGGCTGCGACGCCCCCCACGGACGCCCCGTCCCCTCTCCCCAAAGAGGTGGTGCCATCGGCCACGCGGTTCCTGGGCCGGAGTGCCACCCCGAGCAGGCTTAGCCCCACAGGGCCGGGGGCTCCAGAGGCAAAGGAGGGCACAGCGCTGCGCCAGGGGGTCCCCCAGAAGCCTTACACCTTCCTGGAGGAGAAAGCGAGGTTAGTGCCGGGCACCAGGGTTCGGCCGGACCAGTTCCCAGGGTCCCCTGCAGTGTGCCAGGCTCTGCATTGCCTCTGGGGGGGGGTCTGAGAGAGCGATCCAGAGGGGCCCACCTGACCCTATGTCCCAGCATCACAGACCCCCGGGAGCGGGACCACGGCCCCAGCGTGGGGACAGGCTCTGGGAGGCCCCGTCAGTGGGCCAGGCCCCCGAGGGGTCTCACACCTCCTGCAGGGGAAGCCACGCGGCTTCATCGCCTCCTGGGGCTGGACCCCTGGGCCTGCAGCCCCCGGGCAGCGAGTCCTCCTGAGACAGACCCCGACGGAGACTTGTACCACTTGTGGGGCAGCGCCCCCTCCGCCAGCGTCTGCAGGGACACGCAACCAGCGCGGGCCGACAGGTGGGTTATTAGTCACCTGGACCAGCCTGGGGAGCCCGGAGAACGGAGGTTAAAGCATCGTGCAGAGGCCAGCCACAGGCAGCGAGCCCCATGGCCCAAGCTGTCCCCATGCGGGGATACCAGGCCGGCGGTTGGCCCAGGTCTCCGGGCTGAAGAATTGCTGTGCAGACCGTGGGGCTCGGCGGGAGGTCAGGCGCTGGGGCCCTGACCCTGACGAGTCACAGCAATGTTCAGTCCTGCAGCCCGAGCCCGAGCGAGCTGACCCGGGCCAGCCGCAGCCAAGCCGTGGGGCTTTTATCCCTGTCTCTGACCTCCTTGGGTCCAGCCGAGAGCCCCCGCTCCTGCCAGCAGCCAGGTCTGATCCCCCACCTTCGACCTGCCGCGGCCTCTGTTCGCTGGCTGGGGGATTGTGCCCAGCCCCCCTGGGGACAGGTGGGGAAATCCCCCCCCCCCCGTGTCCTGTGACTGGTTTTGCTGGGATTCCCCATTGAGATGGGGCTGGGCTGGGCCAGTCCTTGTTAATGACCCCTCCCGGGCGACATTCATACCCACGTCTGTGAGCCTCCCCAGGAGCAAACTGCCCCCCCCCCGTAACCATGCAGCTTATTGGGGAAACTGAGGCACAGGGTCATAAAAATATTACCAGCGATTCCCCCTTGGCCACTCCCCACTCGCTCCTGGGCACTGCCCCTGGAGGCCCTGCCCCACAGCCTGGGCTCGCTGGCATGGGGAGCAGCTGCCAGGCACTGGGCTTGGCTCTGGGCTGGTCTTGCTGTGGGGTGGGGCAGGTCCTGGTTCCAGTCACTGCCAGGAGACGTCCCCAGCACGGCTGGCTGCCCACCTGCTGCTGGGCGTCACCAAGGCAGCTCCCTGCTGGGTTTGGGGTTCGATCCCCCCAGGCCCAGCCTGGTTCTTCCCGTAGCTTTTGGGTGAGGTCTGGCTCGTCCCCGGAACCAGCCGGCATCGCCCCATTCCTGCATCTCCCCAGCTCAGTTCTGGCCCCTCCTGGGCACTTGGCCCTGGGACCGCCCACCCCACTGTCCCCCCAGGCTCCAGGCCAGCACCGAGCTCCCTGCTGCCAGGGGGGCCAGGGCTGAGTTTGCCCCATGAGAACGGCAGGGCCCCCCCCCCCCGAGTGCCGCTCGGCCAGCGCGGTAAATGGGGCCTGCCAGCTCTCTGGAACTCAGCCCAGGGAGCGGGAAAGTGCAGCCAGGGCCGGCTGGGTCTGACCGGAGCCCCGAGCGCTCTCGCGGCCCCCGGTCCAGACGTGCCCCTGCGCCCAGCAGACCCAACCTGCCCCCCACGGTCCTGGCCTCCACCTCAGCCCCTTGTTCTCCAGCTGCTCCGAACGGGCCAGTCTCCGGCACAGGGGTGGGTGTTCCCAGGTCGGGAGTTGCTGGGCACCAGATATCCAGGCGTCAATCACACCTGGGTCTCTGCAGAGATTAAACAACTTCCCCTCCCCCAGTCAAACGTGCAGCACATGGGGAAACTGAGGCACACACAGTAGTCACACACAACATTAAGAAAATCCCCACGGGGGGGGAAGGGGGCCAGACTTGGGGGGAGCTGGGGAGCCTGGCGAATCTGCCTTCCCTCAGCGTCCGCACAGCAGTGCCCAGAGAGGCGCCCGGGGGCTGTCCCTGGCTAGGACCCCTTACAGGGCTGCGCTCCCCCCGGCAGAGGGTCTGGCCCAGCCCCGTTGCGCAGCCGGTGCCGACGGCTCCTGTCCCGTAGGGGCCGGTTCGGGGTGCTCCGGGAGTGCAAGGAGAACGCCACGGGGAAGCACTTCATGGCCAAGATCATTCCCTACGAGGCGGAGAAGAAGCAGAGTGTCCTGCAGGAATACGAGATCCTCAAGGGCCTGCACCACGAACGCGTCATGGGCCTGCACGAGGCCTACATCACCCCCCGCTACCTGGTGCTGATCGCCGAGCACTGCGCCGGCAAGGAGATCCTCTACAGCCTCGTCGACAGGTGGGGGGCAGACCAGGGCTGGGCCCTGTGCATCGGGGGGGGGGGGGG